CTTTATTTTTATAACAGGATGGTTGATCTTTGAAATGGGTTGACTTGAGATATGGTGGACATGTCAACACTGCTTCGTACTAGTACGTTTATATTTACTGGAAGATGAACTCCTCGTATTGTTCTCCACTCGTTGCTTGGTACACGGGAAATAAAGGTTTCCCCACTTCACTAGATGAGATTAGGAGTAATTTACGTAGAGGAGAACTCCAGAAAGGTGCGTGGAACAAACGAGAATCATCTCATCTGCACTATATAAGTTCCCTGACTGAGAGACAGTGCAAGGGGTTATTATTAATAGGGACAGCAGGAACTGTCTCGTTCAGTGATTGTTTAGCAACCCATTTTACCTCCATATGGATAGAAGAAATATATATATATATACACACACACACACACACACACACACTAACGAAGCAATATTGCAGAAAAACCCTATTTAAACAGTGGGCTCTGAATAAAGGCAGGTGGGCTTCATACTTTCCGTTATCCATTACCTGATCCAAATTTAAGGATAGAGGCAACACCTGCTACTCAGTGAGTTCCTTTGTCTCTTGTTTTCTTTCTTTCCTTTATGAAGAGTAAAAGTCGATGCTGTAGTGAAAACAATTGTCAACAACCATTAGAACCTCTGGGTAGATTGGAGAAAAGCAAACATTGGAATACGAAACAATGAGGTCAATAAAACCACAATGTGATTCAAGTAATGTGACACAAAAGACTGAGTCATCTACATCTTAAGGATTTCGTCCAGGGAATGTCGACTGTCAGAAAAGCTGTGAGATGACGATGAACTTTATACGATATAACATTAAAAAGATAAAAAAATATAATCCACAATAGAGTAATAAACAAACCAGAAGACATACTTAACCCAACCTGTCAAACTGGAAGGAGATACATCTCGAGAAATATAGGTATCCTGACACAAGAAAGGATAATTTGGATTGCCTCTAAAGTACACGTGAGGTAACATCAACTTCTCACATACAAAAAAGGAAGCAATAAGGGTCTGATTGTTTATATGAAGAAATGGAAGAGAGGATGATTGTAAAAAATATCCAGTCACCCTCCACCCTCCCAGGCAGCTTACATTTTGGGAAGGTTTGTTTTGTAATTTTGTGAAAAGCTGCTCGAGGACTATCCATGTCAGCCATTCATAATTTAGAAGTGATAAGACTAGAAGAAAAGCAGCTAGTCAGTATCACCCACATTATAATGGTTTCGTGGCTGTAAGAGGGAGTCTATTCATTAATGGGATGTCTTGGGAAAGAAGGAGTGGTTTGGAAACAAGACCAACCTGTCCCTATGGAAAAACAAAAACATCTGAATGACATCTCCACAAACTTAAAGATTAAAAACGTTTTAAAAGGAAGATGATACAGGGAACTGGTGATAAAAGTTTTGAACAGAGGCCTGCCTTTTGAGAGTCCTGCAAACTAAACAGATGTTTTGTCTAGAAAGGAAATGGATGAGAAAGATGACTGACTTGAAAGGCCTTGAACGGTTTTTATAAACACCACTGCAAAAAAAAAAGGAAAAGACTGATAGTCAACAACAATGCTAATTTGAACCAGTGATCATTGTAATAAATAAATCATTATCAAAAAGCCAGGTGAAAATGAAAGTGAGATGTGGACGAGTCACATGACCTGGAGAAAGGAGGTGATGGAAGGACCAGCATTAATAAATCATCCAGTTGAGTTGAAGAACTGTATGGGTGCGTGGGTGGCTTATAAGAGTGAGCAAGGAAATTGTCTATTCTGAAAAAATCCTGTCGATCTTGCAAAGGACCATACAAAGGTGAAGATGAAGGTGTGACATTTTGAAATGAAATATGGATGTCAAAGACTCACATAAGAGGGGCCTCCAAGATGGAAGAAGTAGAGGCTTCTGGATTGCCAAGGGGTAAAACAGTGGAAAACACAGCAAAGCTACCTAAAGAGGAGCAAGAAGAAGAACATGAAAAGGACATTGCAAATTAGAGACAGGACGACCTTACAGAAAAATTGAGGACGAGGCTAGGTGTACAGAAAGAGATTGGACTAATCCTGGCTCCGATCATCCACAGCTATGCCAGCAGAGTCTGGGACTAGTGACTGGAAGAATGAAATCTTGTTATTCTGAATAGTGACAAAGGAATTGAGAAGAGACCTCCTAAAGTGGGAACAAATCTACTGAAACACCAGAAGATGTAAGGACCACTGTTGGAAGGATTCACCATCAAGTTCACAGCTTTGGCACATAGTAAAGTGACAATTGTATGTTGTTTTTGTAGACCTAAAAGGAAGTTCTGGAGAAAGCAGTGGTTTAGAGAATAAGCACCTCCCTCTCAATTAATGGAATAAATGACAGTGGATTTGTCTGAATGGATCATAATAAGATGTCCGGAGAGAAGATGGTGGCAGGCCCATTGAACTTCCAACATTATGAGGATGCTGTGAAGAAGAATAGTGATCTATTCGAAAGCACTCGAATTTTGGGTCTCGTTGAAAACCACTACAACTTTTGTATGTAATCCTGTGTGCTAACTTCTTAATCAGAAATTATGAGTATATTGGTTTGGTTTGTTAGTTTGTTATGAATTTCGCGCAAAGCTACACAAGGACTATCTGCACTAGCCGTCCCTAATTTAGCAGTGAAAGACTAGAGGGAAGGCATCTAGTCATCACCACCCACCGCCAACTCGTGGGATACTCTTTTACCAACGAATAGTGGGAATGACTGTTACATTATAACACTCCCACGGCTGAAAGGGCGAGCATGTTTGGTGGGACGGGGATTCGAACCCGCGACCCTCAGATTGTGAGTCTAGCACCCTAACCACCTGGCCATGATGATGTTGATATGCAAAGAACACTCCTCTGAAGACCAAACATTGAAAGTAGTGAAGGTGTTCAGAAATGCACCCCCCACCCTCTGAACAGAGAGGCATCCATGAACTGATATAAGTATGGATAAGGTGGATGCCACCATAATAGCAAGAAGTGAAGAGGCGGAGGGAGAAAATTAGGGAAGTCAGTGGATTTCTGGACAGATAATTTTCATTCTCCCAGAACTTCTTTTCGAAAGAAGGGTAACATACGGACAAAACTGAGGAAATCTAACTCCAGAAAGTATGGCATTCCAAACCAACAAACCCCCAAACAACAACAGAAGAAAACAAGTTAGAGTAGGCAACAGCTAAAGAAAAAATCGAGGTCAGCATTAAGAACAGGTCGGTGCGAACTTTTCCAGTAAGGCTGTCGGGGTCATGATGAGGAGACTCAGAAAGAATGATGTACAGAGGACAGATAGCGAAGAAGTTGAGAAAGCAGAATACATAGACAAGCAGATTGAGGAGGAGAGAATCAAAATAGAAGAAAAACGAAGATTCCCAAGCCGGAAGAAGAGATTTAAGGGATTGGAGCTCTATTTTAACCTTATGATACAATCAGTCAAATTATACATATTTTACCATTTTTAATTTGGATGGTTTTATCCCACCCTTGATGTGTAAATTGGTTTATTGTACCGTAACTATAATGCATAACTGACTGATTTCATCTTTCATACTTTAAATGTATTTTGAAACCTATTTAAAAGATAAATTCGCGGTCTAGAAAGCTGTTAGAAATTGCAAACGCAAGCCCTATTGGATATTAATAATAACGAAAAAGTTTATGCACTTATTTTTCTGTATATCTAACTTAATTTTTACACTACCCCACTCAAAGATACAATATTTCTTACATACTGACTACAAATAAGTATTTAAAAGCCTACTAAATTTCATTCGTTCTGCCCAAACTTTCATGAAGAACATATTTAAGTTCATGCTGAAAAACGACAAAATATTATGCGCTCATCTTACCCATAGAGCGAAGTGGGTTGATAAAATAATCAGCCATTGCTGTTTCTAGAGTTTTCGCGCAAAGCTACACAACAGCCATCTTCGCAAAAAATCCCTAATTTTCAGCTGCCGGACTAAAGGAAAGGTCGCTAGTCAGAGCCAACTCTTGTCTGACAGAACAGTGGGATTTGACCGTAAGTCTTAGAATGCATCCATGGCCCTAAAGTTTGCATAGCGTTTTTTGCAGCAAGCGGATGACTAAAACCATGAATTCTCGGAGTCACAGTGCGGGCACTCCATCCACTAGCCAGGCTCAGCCCATTCCCTGTTTTACGTCCTTCATTCCGTGGCTAAAGCATTAAAACTAAACAAGTTATAATAACTATGTGTGTTAAATAAAAGCCGTTGGTCATAAGCATTGAGCGATGGATGTTAATGAACGGTCATGAAGTTTCTAATGGATGTTTATTTATAACACTATGCTGCTGAATTATATGTACAAAACAATGCTATGTAATATTATATATGTGTGTGTGTGTGCACCAGCCGCGACCCGCAAAAACATTTGCAGTAGTTTTCATACCCTTCGCTTGAGTTTTCCATATTCTATCCTTTTCACGCACGATACTTAAGCTATGCTTTTTTTGCAGGTATTATGTGTTAGATCAATAAATTTAATGCATTTTGGTATAATTTTCATTTTAAATTACACATTTTGTTTGTGTGAAATACTTTGCAAGTATAAAAAACAAAGTTGAAGTCGAAGCCAGTCGTCACGTGATGACAACGACAATTTGCCATCGTGTACCATACTCGTTAAAAAGTTTGACTAAGCAAAAATCACGTACGGTAAATTCTGAATTGAAAAGCCAATATGCAATCCGAACTCTTTGGATAAAGACCTTTCTAAGGATATGAGATTTGTAGCGCTTGATTGAGAAATTTGCGTTTTATTTATATAGATGTGTGTGTGAACAACCTCTAAAAAGAACGTAAAAAACTATGTTTTTCATTATTTCAAACAGCATGGAATAGTTTTAAAAAAGTGGTAATAACTTATGTTGCACTTAAAATTATGTCCCGAGTCTGATATACAGTCGCACAATATATTGTTAGCATACAGTGCTACTTTACAGTTACATCATCTAAACATGCCACGAAAAACTAACCTGAAGAACTTCTCATTGTTGTTGGTTTCAGTTTTGGTTGTTGCTTAATGGCCGCCATCAACTTTTCATAAAGAGATGGTTGTCTTTGTGGCGGAGGTGGCAGTTTCCTTTCAGATACCTACAGAAAATCAATGGTTCTGCTCCATGAGCTGTAAATATTTATCTATTCACACGCTACGTGCAAGCAGGAAAACATAATTGGTTTAGAAACAGATGGCCAACCGAGTAAAACGCCATTTGGCCACTTACGATATTCACATGTTCTATAGAAATAAATATAAGATACCTTAAATACTACGGGAAACAAAGTAAGTTTTGCTCATGATGTTTAAAAATGCTTGAAATGTGTGAAAATGAAAATATATTCAAAATATACTTATATATTTAGCATTTTTCAAGTTATTAGTTTTCATAACATTTAGTTAATTATTGAATATACAAAAACAAATAAATGAACGTACAATATATATATATCTGTCTAAAAATAATATTCAGTTATTTTTTTCACTAACGAATAAACGATATAATTCTTCTGACCATTTCTTTATAACTAAATATATTTTTTTTCTCACTAGAGATACGTCAAAATTACATAAAAAGTAACATACTGGGACTAGAGGAGGGCGGGAACGAATGAACTCCAAGATTAAAGCGTGGGCATCTTTCTTGACTCGAGGTGGAATATCTCCGTTCACCTGGAACAGGTAAAATGTATATGGAATTGGATTAAAGTTTACATATTTCACACAGTATGATATCATGGGAAATCTCATAAAATTCACTGGCAGTGTTGAACTAAGGTAAAAAAATGAACGATTAGAAATGCCGAGAGCACATTCCGTGAATTATTTAACATGAACATCACAACGTTATATTTAACATTAATTATTTTTATACATTATTCAGTTATTGTTTCAAATACATACGACTAAACATTTGCTTGAGATCGTTTGCAATATGAGTGTAGCAAATTATAAAGTGGTAATCAATTGATCGTTGTCTATACATTAATACGTAATTGTATTCGTTTTTTTGGTAATCAATTGATCGTTGTCTATACATTAGTATGTAATTGTATTCGTTTTTTTGGTAATCAATTGATCGTTGTCTATACATTAATACGTAATTGTATTCGTTTTTTTCCCGGGGCCTGTAGAGCGCTCAACTTACAATCTTCGGGTCGCGAGATAGAAACACGTCGCCCGCTAAAATCTGGGGTTCGATTCCCTGTGGTGGACAGGATGAACAGGTGTAATTTTGTGCTAAAAACAAACAAATAAAGATAGCTAGATAACCACAGAGTAGTTCTGCGCAAAATCTAATAAACAAATTTATTTCCCAAAATTATCTTAACACATCTTAATAGGGTAGAAAATATTCATCAAAAGGGAACATTCTAGCCACGTGGGTAGTTTTTGAATTTGATTAGAAAACAATAACTAATAAATACAGGTCTTACTGCTTGCTAATGCGTCTACCAGAAGCTATGGCTACTGCCTGATATTGTCTATGCATACTTTTGACGAGCCTTTAGCTGATGATCTGTGCCAAGCAGTCCCATTCCTCCACAAGAACATCTTCCAGCTCATTAAGAGTCAGGAGTTGAACAAATCGGACAGAAATAGCATGCTGAAAGGATTCTTAGCATTCTTGACTGGATTAATGTTTGGAGTAGGTCACTCCAAATTGACAGTAACCTCCCCTCTACCAGCTAAGCGTAGTATGAGTGACTGTCATTTATAAAGACAGAGTCGCCACTAGTGTACAGTTTCATATAAATACTTACTATGTCATCCCCGTATTGCACAGCTGTCAAAAAATTATCCTGAGACGCTGGAGATCACTGATGACTGAAGCTGATGCTTCCCAAACCCACGATGGGTACACAACGCTAATGCCCGGGTTCAGCCATGTTAACGTTGTAGCAACGCTTCCATTGTTATTTCTACACTTCCATATGATGGTCTATAAAGTCTAAAAAACTAGGCTTATCCATAAAGAGCACTGGTAATCTTGAATAATCCAAGTCAGATGGTCTTGAACTCAGTCTCAATGATTTTACTGTGACGTTACTTCAACGGGATTATAAACCTTCGATAACCGCAAACCAACCCCTAAGAATATTAAGAATACAAGATGAATTTTAAAGGTTAGCTCAGAGTGCTATCTGGGAAGGGTTTTAGCAAGCTTTTATGATTAGGAAACAGTCTGATCCTGGGTTTGTCGCTCTGTTGGGCCATCTCCATAACATACGTTTGTGGATTCTCGGTTACTTCTGAGTATATGAGATAACACTTTGGTTCACACCTAAAGCATTAACAACTCAGCTTTGAGACACTCAAACCTGTAGTTTACCGAGGCTATGTTACAATCCCTCCAAGTATAAAAATGCCTTCTGACACATGCTTAGACCATAATAGTGTAAAATGCCAGTAATGGAATATGAAAACTCAAGGAAAAAAGAAACAACATGGTATAGGAGCATCTCGTTTATTGAAGAGTCTGTAGTTCGCCTGAGTGATAATAAATGACAAATGAACGACATTATAAACTGCTCACTCACTGCTTGAAACTGAAGGCTACTTCTATTCGCTTTTCAAAGTCCTTAAACGTTTGGCAAAACATTAAAATTGGGGCATTCATTAGCATTAAGAAACAGTAATCTTTAGCTAACTTTTAGTAACATATAATTGTTCTTTTCTTAATGCAAAACTACATTATGGGCTATCTTACCTCTGTATACCGCGGGGAAATAAACCTGGGGTTTTAGTATTATAAGTCTTTAAACTTACTGTTGACCCAACGGAACACATAGCATATAACGTAAAAAAAAAAAAAAATTAACAATGTAAAATTCAGACATTCTTGCGGGACATTATTATTAAAGCAGTTAAGACTAATGTTGTTAAAACTACATATTTTTGAAGGAAGAACAATAGACATGTTTAAAACTACTAAACATGTTTCTAAGTTGAATATCAGAATTTCATGTTACAACGTTTAATATATTTTTATTTCTCACTCTTGTGACAAAGTTGTAGAAAAAACTCTTTAAACACGTGCTTTCGTTTAACCCACGTTTTCCCTGTAAAGTTATACCACTCGTCCTTCTCCTTCTTGTGCACGAATTTGTTACGCGATTATCTCTTTTTAATTGCGATAATAAAAAGTTATTTTTTATCGTTTATACTGGTGGAAAATAATTAACAAATAACTAAAATAAATCAGAAGCTTGAACAGTGAACTTTAAACACAATGATGATTTAACATGACTACCGTCATCTCTTGAGTAAATAGGAATATATTTGATACACATTATATAATGGAAAAATGGTTTTTAAATGAATATTGAAAAAAAAGTGACATAGAAGTGTTAAAATATGACGCATCCAAATGAAAACCAAAAATTATCTTAAAGCAAAATTTGTGATAGTTATTTTGGCATTAGAATGGTATAGCTGGAGAACAAGATGTTCAGATGATTGGCTTTGTACACTTTCTCGTGATCATTCAACAGCTTAACTTTACTCTAGAAAGTTAAACTAACTTTCAGATATTTTAAATAAATTCAAATTGTTTATTACCTAAAATAAAACAACAACAACAATTAGGATAACAAATAAACGAAACTATTTTCGCATGAATGATATTCTCTAATGCATACACAAGTCTAATGATGAACGTTACAACTAATCCGTGCTTATTATCTAAAAGAAAAAAAAACAATTAGGGTAACAAATAAACGAAACTACAGTGGGATAAAATCTTAATATACGAAAAAAATAATGAATATCACTATAAGAGAAAATTAGTTATTTGGTCAATGTTTGGTAAAGTGACTTCTATTGTGACTAAAGTTCAATTTGTTTACAATTAGTCAACAGATGGCGCTACTCTAGCAACATCACTTCGAAATCATTTGACGTAAAGCTACATAATGGGCAACCTGTGTCTATCGAAACTTTAATTTTATATTCGTAAGCCTGAATACTTACCGCTGAGCCACTGGGGGCAGTGGGCACTCGGAAATAACTGATCAGACGTAAAATGTAAATATATTAAAATAATAAATTAAATTGTTATTCAAAAAAATAAAAATGGATCGATCTTATATGTGGAAAAACTTATAAAAATCGTAAACAGTTTTCAGGACCGTAAACAGATCAAAATAAAACACAATTGCCGATCTCTAAGTCTATGGTAAGCACATTTTTGCAACTCCTTACTTACCATTACTTTATTGAGTTTGTAACGTCGGGAGCGGATATCGTCTAATAACATTTCGTACGGAGTTAATTCGTATTCAATGGAATGTTGAGGATGTGAATCAAAATCCACTTTCTTCAGTTTAACTCCTTGTCTTAATTCTTTGATGACCTGTATCCATAACATGGCCTACATTTGGACAAAATAATCTTGAAACATGTACCCTGTTAAAGCTTTGTTTGCAACAGTATTGTGAGTGTTTTGGAAAAAAATACTTTTGTAACGGTACTAAGTGAAAAAATGTCGAGTTCCTTCACACATTTACTGATTATGTGTTGCATAAAATGACTTGCTAAAATTAAATTAAAAAAATACAAAAAAATGTTTGAAAATTAACTACTCAAAAACTGACATTAGTTCAGTAAACATCTAAATTCATGCATTTACTATATTATATGCATCTAGTAATCAAGGTTGAGATGAAAATTCATTTTTATGGTAAAAAGGAAAATAAAAAGTTACACACACAATAATCATTTCCCTTAGTTATAGTATAGCTATGATAAATTAAACTTCATAATAAGAGTGGATTCACAATTACTATTATGTATTAATTGCTGTATAATTGTTTGTAATAAAATAAGTAACAGATGTTACAAAAGATTGAAGTTATTCGAACCAATAGCTATTCACTACTTTTACAAACTTTTGACTACACTCGACTATTTTCTTACGATTTTAAACAGCAGTAATTACATCTCCTTTCAAGTACCATAAAAACTGTTATAAAACACTGAACACATTTCAATAAAGTATTATTCATACTCTTAACTCACATTGCATACCTAAGATATCCTTTATTACAATGACTAGTTTATAGACCCCCCCCAAAAAAGAAGAAGAGTCAACTATTCGAAACCGCTCGAGTTTTGAGTCTTTTTTTTAAATTCATTTTTTGAGATGCTTTGCATTAGTCATAACCTACCCAACCCTTTGACTACCAACGTGAATACCTTATGTGCCCAGTGCTTTGTATTTATTGAGATGTTTTACAAACCTGGGTACCTTTTCGTTCAGCGATTTACAACAATTAATTCAAAATAAATCACTACATTATTTTCTCCATAATAATTTGGTAGTGGGTGGGGCGATAAGATTACGTAGACACTAGCAGACTAGTGTTATATTATGCATTCATTAACACATGAACTGGTTTGTCACAGTATTAACGTTAGCATGGGTAACCATAAACGCAATTACCATCTTTTGTTTTTTAAAGAAACTACAACAAAGGTCCAAGAACACCAAATTTATATTTGTCTTTATATTTAACTATTTTCTAATGAATATTCTACGAAATATAATGCATATTTTAATCCGTTGTGTCATTTTTTCCACTTTTGAAGCACATGCTATAGCTATATTTATTCCAAGTATAGTTTCAACTTACCAGCAATAAGGTTTAGTTCTTCAAGTTCT